GCTTCCTGGGGAGAAGGATGGAAAGAAGACATAAGAGCTGCCTTGGGTATGTGAAAGGCTGCCGTGTTACAGAAAAACCAGCTTTCACCTGGGTTGTCCCTTAAGACAGAAACAAAACCAATAGGTAAAGATGATAAGGAGACGGCCTCAAGCTCACTAAATCATAGTAGCTGCCCTCACTGCTTGCCTGCTGCGTGCCAGTGTTTTTACATATTAGCTGGTTTAATCCCGGAACCATCCTCTGAGCTAGACAGATGGAAAAATTTTACAATGACCAAAGCTGACCTTTGAACAACAGTGACATCTCTTCTGGGATATTCTAAAGGGTTAAAAGATATGTTGGGTTAAAAGAGGATTATCTAATTTTTGCTAATTTTACCAATCGGTTCCTGTGCCTGCGGTCTTTGTCAGCCCTGGCACCAGATGGCGCTGCCTCAAAGACACAGACTAGTGGCATTTCTGGGCCTTGCGGCACAGGGTCCATGGTAGGGGTGATCCTTGAAAGGGTGGCTGGCATTCCTGCAGCCTCTCCCACATGCTCGCACCAAAGCCACTAGACAGGTTGGGTGTCCGTGTCCAGCACAGGCTTGGGGGACACTGCTGGCACTGGCTGCGTCTTGGCAGGGTGAACACGGCCAAGCAATGCCCTCTTACCACCAAGTAAGGACGTGGATGAGGAGCCCTCCCTCAGACCCCAAAACCAATGCTCACTGCAAAGCCCCAAGCCCTGAATTACAGTGCTAAAACCAGGAAGCTCTCATACCTGAGAAGGGTGACCTCACACTTGAAAAAGTTCACTTAGACAAATCCTCAGGTGCTAACCTATTTCCGACAACAGGTAAGGCTGAGCCCAGCCGTGGAAGGACCTGAGGGCAGGGAGGGGGGCAGAGCAGCACCCTGAACCACCCAGGGTGGCAGCCTGCAAAGTCCAGACAGGGAAATCCTACGGGACAAATGACCTGGTTCCTTCAACAAAAACAACAATAAAAACTGCCAGAAAAGAAACCAAGACCAAGGAAGAAGAGGAGGAAGAAGACGAGGACTACCTAGAGAGTGTGAGTCTTGAGAGACTAATTGATCAACCCACTGCAATGCATGGACGGCCTTATCGGGATCCTGATTTGGACAAACTATAAACAAAAATCAGGCAATAATTAGGGAATTGTGAACACTAACCAGGTATCTGATGATACTTAAAAAATTACTGAATTTTTAACAGCTGTGATAGTAGTATTGTGGTTTGGTTTTTAAGAGTCCTTATCTTTAGAGATGTGCACAGAAATGTTTACAGATGGAAAGTGTCGATGCCTGAATTTTCTGCTAAATAACCCGGCATGGGCAGGCAGGGGATGGACGAATCGAGACTGGCCGTGGGTTGGTGACTGCTGGCACTGGTGGTGGGTACACTGGGGTTCCCTGCACATGTGAAACGCTCCATCATGAACGAGCTTAGATAAAGGGAAGAGCCACCACCAGAATACCTAGACTTCGTGAGCCCACCGTAGGCCCACTGGAGGGATCTGACGGGGAGAAGCTGACAGTTCCATTCAGTCAAGCATTTAATTAGTTTTGGATTTTTTTCTCTTTCCCAGGACCAAGGCCCTAGGTGGCAGGGAAGGTCTAAAGGCACTGGTTCACCTTCAGGGCACTGCAGAAGCTTTGGACAGAGTCTAGCAGCACTCTTCCAGGCACGCTCAGCCATCCTTCCCCATACAAACAGAGGCCTTCTGGCCCTCTCCTGCACCCCCTGTCCCCCACCACCCGCTCTGGGACACTCCTTTTGGATGGAAGACATCACCAGGAAAAGGACACCCTTGGTGTCCTTTGGTAGTGTCCCCATGGTAGTGTCCTCTGACCTTGCCCTGCCTCAACCTCCCCTCCTGAACACAGACAGACACACGGTGAGACTCCTGCCAGCAGGATGGCCGGCCTCATGGCAGCCTTTTGGACCCCGTATTCTGGGAGTGGAGCTATCGACGCCATACACATGTCCTTTATTCCCTCTCAAACATGCCATCTCTTGACACTTTATCTAGGGCATAACAAGGGCCCATGAGGGCCATGGGTGATGATGGCACCTGGGAGCAAAGCCACACCCCCCCACACTTGACCTCACATCAATACATCAATTTTACTGTCATCAAACCTGGCGCCACCGGGTCAGCCCAGATCTGACTCCTCAACCCAGTTTTAAGGGAAAGAAACCCATGTCTTTCAGAGTCCAAAGCAACTCTTATCTGAGCCCTTGCCACCCCGGCCCCTGCCTCCAGCTTATTATCCTGGGAGCAAGGAACACGTAACGGCTCTGCTACGTGTTACCGGGCAGGCATGGGGAGGTGGCGCCCGTGGATCAATGCTGTTTGGTGGCTCAGCCACTGAAGACATTTTCTAGGAAACTGGGGCAGCTCGAGGAGGAAGCTGTGTCCACTCCGCGCCATCTCAAGACCACTGACCCAATTCCAAGAGGAATAAGCAATGAGGCCACTGGTGGCCCAGGCCACACCAACTCACCCAACTCTCTTCAGGAAAGCACGCTCAAACTAAAGCAATTCCAGCAAGAAAAATCCCACCTTCATTGAAACTATCTGGAGTCTGGGGCCTGAATGATAGAAAATACATCCTTAGTTCTCTACTCCACTTTTGCAGAGGAGATTCGGCCTCATCCCAGACAGAGGTGGCCTCAGCTACATGTGATGGGCAACGAATTCACTCATATTCCTGGGCAAATGATCTCACAAGCTGGGAGGGTTGGTGGGGGGGACCTTGCTTCTGACCAGGAAAGTCTCCTTCCTCACACACACCTCATCCTACCTTAGCCCCATGCTGGCAGCAGTCAAGAATTGGGTCTAAAATAAGAGACCAGGGAAACAACTTGGCTGCAAGGATCCAGCCAGAGAGCAGGATTGAAGGAAGCCAGCTCAGGAGGAAGACCGAGTGTAGATTTTCATCTTATATGCTCTCAGGACCTTAGTTCTAACATCGGAAGGTGCAGAATCCTCTTGTGGAGGAGCTATCTGATGGCCACACGGGCAAGCTCGAGGCTCCAAGCCTCTTCCAGGCCACTAGCCACCTCCAATACCACCAGGTACATACCCTTCCCACTCTGGTGTGCTGTACAGACAGAGAAAGAGGGCGTAACTTTTTTTTCCTCTTAATCTCTTTTCTAAAAAGAAAAAAGAGAGAAGAAAAAAAGTCAAGCTGAAGGGAGAAAGAAGGACTGGCGGCTGGCCCCTCTGCAAGAGGGGTTGTGATGGTCACACAGGGCTGGGTGCAGGCCTAGAAAGATCCATAGAGGTAGTAGGGCGTGGTGGGAGTGGGGGAGCAGTATCTACTGCCTCCAACCAGTTGCCAAAGCCACCTCTCAGAACAAGAGAGAACTAGCAAGAAGAGAGACCCCAAATACCACCTTCTCCTCCCCACAGTTCCCCAACATATAAACTCTCAGTGCTCACTGAGGTTACGTTCCTGATGCCGTGCTGGAAGCGCCCCCACCCCAAATTTTATTTCGGGATCCAGTGATATCATTCCTCCCAACTTCCCAAGCAGGCAAGGGGGTGACCACGGCAGTTCTGAGTCGCTTTTCTTCTTTGTGAATGAACAGGAAGGAAGACACAGAGACACACACTTGCGGGGAAAGAACCTTCACTAGAGTTGAAGTCAAGCCGCATTCTCTCACATTCGCATAAAGAGAGGAAGAAGGGAAATGAAGGGGAAAAAAAATACTGGAATGGTGGAAAGGAAAACACACACACACACACACACACACACAGAGAGAGAGAGAGAGAGAGAGAAAGGTTTGGTAGCCCTCTCATTACAAGTTGGTTAGGCATAATGTAAACACACTTCTGCCTTGCTTAATCACAGAGTGCCGCCCGTTTAGGTTTCAAAGGCGGCAGTAAATTGGGCGTAGCTGAGTGGAGGCTAAAAATTAACCAGCCATCTCTGTTTCAATTTGTAAGAAAACAAAAGCGGAAAGAAATTATAAAAAGGGAAAGGGTAAGGGAAAAAAAAAAGAAAAGAAAAGAAAAAAAGGACCAGGGGAGGAGAACTAAACCACTCTGACCCAAAATGCAGGGTAAGACTGGAAAAGCGAAGAAGAAAACCAGAATTACTTGGAACACAAAAGGAAAAGGAGATTTTACAGAGTTTTTCTGGTTGTTGTTGTTTGCTTGCTTGTTTGTTTAAGACCTCTTCCACAGCAACACTGCTCCCTGCATGCCTGAGCCCTGGGAAAGCCTCTCTGCCCACCCCCAGCAGAGGTGCCAGGGCTGTGGGCAGCCAGCCTGGGGCCTCGCCACTTCAGCCGAAACAAGGTGAAGGCGAAGAGCTCAAGGAACCTCCTGCTAGTTTTCACTCTCTATGAAATCAAATTACTTTCATACCCCCTGACAGCCAAATCCCAGCCAAAACAGCTCCCGCCTCAGCATCTAGGCCCCAGGATCTGCCCACCGAGCCTTCTTTCCTCTCTTCTATTCATTCGGTCTCATATCCAGGGCTTTCGCATGCCCTCTCTCTCCACCGAACTGCTGCCCACCCCGCTTGTGCCAAATCCAGCTTTTTCGGGGACTTGAAGTGAAGCTGCAGGAAAGCTAGCACCTGCCCCCCAGTACTTCTTCTGACTCATTTTAATAAGAGCAACTGACTGGTTGTGGTGGTTGTTTTTCATCTTAAACTCTCACCATCATGGATAATTCCGGGGGCATCCTGACCCTGGTCCTAAGACTTGCAGCATCTTTCTGACCCTAGGAGTCCTCAGAGGGTAGAGAGGCACAAAGTCGGTAACACCGCCAGGGAGCAAAGGGGGAAGAATGGAGCAGGTGGGGGGAAACAGAGAGAGGGGAAAAGGAAAAGGACACATCCAACGTGATGCAGGCCCTGGGAGGACGGGCGTACCAGTTAGGCCTGTGGTGTGTTATCGTTTGGAAATAAGAGGAACAATAAACAGAACAAATGCCAGCAAGTAAAATGAAATGGGGGAAAAAAGGTTGATAGCAACCTACCCGGAGTGTGGACAAAGTAAGCCAGATAAAGATCCAGTTCTTTGATTGTGACTCCAATGTGATGTGGCTGGACGCACAGGCCGGGGTTCGAGCACTGAGGCGACTTGTAGAGCCGCTCCCCATCAGTACTTTCCAGGGGGATCCCCTTAAACAAAATCACCATGACCAGGTCCAGCCGCCACACCTTGTCAGCCTGGCGCAGGCAGTCAATCCGCCGGATCTTGCCCTTCTGGTCGGGGTTCGAGAGCACGCAGCAGGGGGGCTTCTTGCCCGTGATGGTCAGCACAAAGTCCTCGCGGAACTCGGGCCGGATGTCTTTGCGCAGCTTGGCCAGCAGCCGGGATGCCCACTTCTGCTTGATCTCGGGCTTCTCGCCCAGCAGCTCGTCCTTCACCGCCCGCTCCTCGTCCTTCGACATCCGTTTCTCGTGCTTCTTGAAGTACTTGCGCTTCCGCGCCTGCAGGTTGAACCAGGTGTAGGAGAAGGCGCGTACGTGAGGCAGCAGCGCCTCGATGAACGGGTGGAACTCATCCTGCAGGCGGCAAGCCGGGAGCATGCGGGGCGAGGGAGGACGGGAGGAGGGGAAGACGGGATGAGGGGGAAAGAGAGAAGGAGAAAAACAGTGTTAGAAGGGGGGGTGCAAGGAAAACCGCCTTCTCCTCCTCCTCCCTCCTCCCCTAACAATTTTTCTCTTGCGATTGTTCTACAAAAGTGTGGTTTGAAGCCACCACCAGCTTCGCTAGCCACTTGCTCCCATCTCAGCCTCAGCAGCCAGACAGAGGCACCGGGAGCCTGTGCACACACCTATTCTCTCTCTCTCTCTCTCTCCCGCACTCACTCACACACACGCGCGCACAGACAACGTTGCCGTCCACACACACACGCTGCTGGTATCCCCGCCAGGCTCTGTCGCGCCCATGACATCTCCATGTTCTATCGCAGCCGTGAACTCCTGTCCGCTCGCCCCGGCGCGGTGTCCGTCTGCACAGGCGCCCGGGGACGCACGGGCGGGGGCGTGCGGGGCCGCCTCTCATTCCTGACACCGGTCGATTTTCCGGCCACCCCCGAGAAAAGAGAAAATGACATCCACGGAGCAAGCGAGTGAGGAAAACGGATCTGGCTTCCCTCTCCCCAGGCTGTTTTCATTTTCTTTTCTCCTGATCCAGTTGGAACATTCACCCCAGCATTTTTTAATCAGATCTACATCCCAAATATGTGATTTCAGCTTTGTTATACACACCGATACTAATGTTAATCACAGTAATAAGGAACAAAACACTTCTTGTTAGCACAAATAAGGTGGTTGTCTCGGCCACATTAGGGTTAAAAGCTACATGGGTCTTCTTGCGACCCCTTCCCCAGCCTCCCACGACCCCTTCACCCTCTTTCCCACTCAGTCAGGTGACAGAGGGCTGGGCTCTCTCGGTTTTGTTTGTTTGTTTTTTTTTTTTTTTGCTTGTTTGCTTGTTTGAAGTTTAAATAATAATTGATTTCTGTTTACAAAAATAAAACTGGAAAAAATTAAATAATTACCATTGATCTGAAGCACCCGGCAAAGCCCAACGCCCGATTCTGAGATTCTGGACTCAACAGAGTTGTGAGTTGGGGGCGGGTGGGGGGAGGGGGAGGAGGAGGAGCAGGGGAGGAAGGTAAATGTTTTAAAGGGGGTTATTATTGGTGTTCTGGGGAATAGGGGCCGGGCTTGGGTGGATTCTCAAACCCTTCCCCCTCCTCCCCCCCCATGCTCCATTGCACAGAAGGGGGAAATTAATATTTTTTTTTGAAAAGGAGCAAAAAGAAAGAAAGGTCAGGGATAGCAAGCAGAGAGGAGGAGAGAGCTGGTTGCCACACACGCCAGGTAAACAAAAGCCAACAAAAAAAATTTTTTTCAATTTCTCCCCCTGTGCATCCTCTCCCTGTTAAAAAAAAAAAAAGAAAACAAAAATATGCAAAATTTAAAAATTAAAACCAGCCTTCCACCATCTCCCTCACACACACACAGCAACGCACCCCACTCCACCCCCGTGCAAAACAAAAACAAAAACAAAAACAAAAACCAGGAGGGGAAAACGCGGCAGTTGAAGAAAAAGGCTTTCGGCTTTGGCAGCGGCACAGGGGTGTAAACTTCAAGCTGCCTCCCTCCGCCTGATCGGAGGAAAAGGGGGAGCTCGCAGATTCCCGGGGAAGAGGACGAGTTCTGACCGGCTGCAGACCGTTGCTGGCAGACACGAGCAAAAGAGAGAGAGGGAGTGAGGGAGGGAGGGAAGGAAGAAAGGGGGAAGGGAGAGATCGAGGATCGAGGGAGGACGTGGATGGGATGGGGCCGTGTGTGTGTGTGTGTGTGTGTGTGTGTGTGTGTGTGTGTGTGCGCGCGCGCGCGCGCGCCGGCGCGCACACGCTGGTTGGGTTTTGGGGTGTTTTTTTTTGCTCCTTTTCTCCTCTCAACTCCCTCGTTCTCTCTCCTTTCATGCTCAATCCCCATCCATTTGCTTGTGCCAAGCCAGTAAAAAGCGGGGGGAAGAGAGAGAAGAGAGAGAGAGAGAGAAAGAGAGAGAGAGAGGGAGAGAGAGAAGGATCCACCTATTTGGCAAAGAGACATCCACGAGCAGCCAATGGCTGCATCCAAGGGGAGGAGGGAACCGGGCGAGCCGGGAGGGTGGGGAGAGCCCCCGGCAGTTGGAGACCAAAAACAATTTGCCCAATCGACAAGTTCACGTCTAATGAACAAGCAAAGTCCAGCAGTTATGAATTTTTCATTCCAGGCTCCCACTCGGGTCCATTTGGCAGCAGCCACCCAGCAAATTTGGGGGTGGGGTGGGGCGG